CGGAGAAGTCGTAGTGAGCCGGAAAAAAAGGTGGATAGAGTTTCAAAGTCAAATATTCGAAGTGTATTGGGCCAAATTCGAAAATTCACGCCGCACCATCCTATATCGCCGCAGAACTGTGCTGTGCGCGCAACGCGTGCGGCGCCAACTGGTATAAGTATATTACGTAGGTAGGAGGACTTTAAACAACTAACTCGATCCATTCCGCGACAGTAGGCAACCTTTGGCTTCGTGAGCTGCTTCGATGCAGATCAGTTTTGCATTCGCATTCAGAATACTGTTCGCCACGGGTACGGTATTCCCATCGAATGAGTTTACATATTCCTAAAGTCACTGTTCACTGTGATCCTAGGAGTTTTGATCGGGGATGACTCACTTTGAAATACTGCACAAGCTTCCGACAAGTGACCGGTTTCCCGTTGATGTATTTCGGTTGAAGTGCGTGAGGATTCAGCAGAGCAGGAATCATCTTTTTCATTTCCTCACGAAAAATCGGTCGCAAATCTGGAATGAAGAAGACATTTGCGTGATCAGAGGCAGTCGAGCTCATGGACGCCATCTAATCACCTTTCACATGGCCTCGGAAAGACTGCCGCTCGGCAACGCGATAGCCGGGATAGGGGAGGAGGAAGCACGAGATGTGCTCAAAACAATCACTCAGCTGTTCGCGAACACTTCGCAGCTCCTCTGGTTGATCGGGAGTGACCTGAAAAGGTTAGTTTGATACACAGTAATTTATCTGCCCCTAACTTTAGAGTGCGCCGAACCCTTACGAGGGGGCTGGAGTGCTGGTTTAGGCTTGTGCGATGCTTCCTTGTTGCATCCCTCCCCAAGGGGTTCACCACGTCGACTACAATATTATTTCTACTTCTTCTGATTCTATTTATAAAGTCTTTTTGCACTTCCCCGCTCACTTTTTGCATATGTGCCAAATCTAATAATATAAAGGACAGCGAGAACTACAGTACTCGCTCTAAGAAATCAAAAATTCACACGAATCTCGCGATTTCGCGTTATTTTCGTGAATTGGTTAAGAGTGAAGAATTCTAGAGGGAGGAAACAGTTGAACTCAGGTCTTCAAGCGCTACAAGAAGTGCTTTGACAAGTTAAGCACAACGAACCTTCAGAACTTGCTGTAGAAACTTGGTCCCGCCCTCCTCACCATAACCGTATTCTTCTGGATTCCGAAAATCCCTCACACAAAAGACAAGCGTCTAAAAAACAGTGATTGATCGGCAATTTCGGCAACGTTTTGAAAAGTACCTGAAACGGTTTTCCGAAGCGTTGAGCTTCCGTCATGGCCAGTCGACCGTATTCGACGAACAGGGAGAGGTGCTGCAAGGCATCCTCCTGTATGTTATCGACCACATTGTAAATCTAGACAATCGGTGATTATTGTAGAAAATAGACTTCCAAAAAAGGTTGTTGAATTCTTT